GGGGGGGGGGGGGGGGGGCGTGCAGGCGCCCCCAGCCCCTCCCGGGCCTGCGCCCGGCTACGGCCGCGGCTCCGCCGCTGAGCGTGCGCGCCTGGTCCGTTTACCACCTCCGCGGCACTAAACGTGCCCAGGCTCTGCCGCTTTTTGACGCAGCGGCCGTCTGCGAGCAATGGCGGCCCCGCGGCGGCCGCGTGACCCGGGTGGCCACACAGCCCAGTGACCACGGCTCGCGCGAACGCCCCTGCCCGCTCAACCCACCGCCATCGACCCTACCGTAACCGCAATCAAAACGCACACAATCAATGCTCACACGCATACAATACACGAACACTCTCACAAACATATAACTCCCACCCACGAATACATATACACGTATGACAGCAACACGTAAGCACACATACACAGACACACAATGAGCAACCTCGCACACACACATCAAACAACCTCTCCTTTCCATCACAGTACTCCGACGCCCACTGGTCCCGCCTCTTCGCCTCCCGCTGGGATCCCACCCCCCTGACCGAGCCCGCCGCGCGCCTGGCCGGCTCCTGGCGCCGCCTGTTCTCGTCCAAGGCCGCCTGCGACGCGGAGGCGGCGCCCTGGAGGCGCCCTTGCCACTGGGAGCTGCAGGCGGCGCTCGCCGCCATGGTGGGGCGGGGGGCAGGGGGCGCGGGGCAAGATAGAGGGGGGGATACGGCGGCGCCCTGTTGTGGCCAGTCCGTGCGTGCGGCTGCAGCGACTCGATTGGAGTGCCGCAGTGCGGCGGGGCGGGGCGCGGTGTGGGGCGGGGCGGAAGGGTGTGACCATGGGTGTCTGCCGTCAGACCCGGGGTTTGTGCCGCAAGGGGGCGGAACGGCGGCGCTCTCAAGGAGCCATTGAGTGGTCTGAGCGCTGCAGACTGGCAGCAAGGGGTCGACCTCCGCACGGCGGACTTGGCGCATGCCTTTGGCTTCCTCCCCCCCCCCAAAAAAACCAGCATCTCTTACCCACCTCGCGTTCCCCCGTTTTCCCCGGGACACCCAACCAACGCCGCCCACCTCTCCACGCGGCCACCTTCCCTCTTGGCAGCTCCTCCATCACCCCCGCTCGCCCCTGCCCCCACCCTCCGCCCGAAAACAAGGTCGAGAGCCTGCCCGGCCCCAGCGACGCGCGCGCCGCCGCCGATCCAGGCGCCGACAGCCCGCCCGACGCCCTGGCCGGCCCGCTGGGCGCCCCCGCGCCCGCCGGCGCAGCGACCGCCGTCGCCGCGGCGGCACCGCGCGAGCTCGCCGTCTGTTTTTTGGTGGATGGCAGCGGATCTGTTGGAGAAGGTGAGGGGGGGATTGTAGCTTCCGGGCGCGCGGGCCGGGCCGCGCGGCCGGCATTGCAGGCGGGCGGGCGGGGCGCGAGGGGGCTCGTGGGCCGCCGCTGGCCTCTTTCGCGCGGCCCCGCTGGCGGCGCCGTGAAGCTCGCTGCTTATCTATTGTTGTGATGCGCAGGGCCCGAGCGTGATTGTTATCGCAGGCGCTTTCGCATACCCATGACATTTTGGGCCCAGCACTTTTCCAGCACATGCCGCCCCCCCCCCCCCCGGGCCCTGACACGCAAGTCCCCTAC